TGCAAGCACTGGGGGAAGTGACTTTCCTTCATTTTATTTGTGCAATGGTATGTCGTATGGTTCCATCCTCAAGTGTTTTTTGTTTTGCTTTTTAGATATCATTGTATTTTTCAAAATTATTGTTTGTCCTCCGAGTTCTGAGACAACATAATAGGACAAGTCAACACCTCTCAACATAATGTTTAGGACAGTTTTAAACTGATAGTTTGTGGCAATGTCAATTTTCAAACAAAACATTGTTGACAGCAATATATAAGTAAAAAGGAGTAACAACGAAAACGTTTTTATTTCTGCATTCCCTGGACAATGAAAAAATTGAATGAATATAATTTAAGCTGAACCATCAGCAACCTTTCCCTTCTTCTTCTTCTGAAGTTTCTTCATATACAACTCAGCTAGCTCCTTGTCCTCCAAAATGTAAGCATCAGCACAGCCACACTGGCTAGACCTTGAAACAATTGAACAATTGCACCCTTAATCAGTGTCTAGTTCCTAACAAACTCATTGTTTGAGGCATTATAAACCACATCCAAAATCTTGGTTTCCTAGTGAGAGCTTCACTAGAATCGTTCCCAGTATCCAACCTCAGGGCTTGCCACTTCAGGCTTGCCAATATTTGCCCAAAGAAGTGATTGCAAATACAAGTGGAATGGTGGTGGCAGGTGGTATATCTTGAAATTACTGAAAGGAAACCTTATAGCTTTCTATATAGATCAGGATAAAATTTTGTATATTATTAGAGATACAAAATGTATATGGAAGAAGATAAATATTGTGAATAGTTGGTGTTGAGAATAGTAATTATTGCACAAACATGTTTAATTAACATGAGAGCCACAAATTTTTGGCATTCAATGTGATAGAGATAGAGATTTGGTGTTTCACTAATTTTGGGGGGTTTTATGTTTTTAAAAAAGGTACTCTGTATATTAGATCAAGATTAAGAGACTCATTGCAAGTGGTGAATAGTAAGATTTAGAATTCCTAAATGGTCTAAGTTTCACTCGAGAAGTTGAGGAGAAAGCTGGCCAAGTCTTTTATAGGTGGAGTTATTCTTATAGTGCATTAATATATGAACAATTTATCATTATAGTTCATTAAACTTGGCATTAAAAATAAATAATATAGGTACTATAATCTTATATTATTATTGAGATTTTGAATCCAATTTTTCATTCAACTGATTAGGATATTTTGTTGGATAATTTTTCAGTCTATTTGTCCTAGTTAAGATATGTGAGGAAAATTATTGATCAATCGCTTCATGTTGAGTGTTGTTATCATAGAGATCTATTTTAGTAGTAGTACTCCGTAATTGTGTACACATACAATAATAGTATTTCCTTAATGGCCAAATCATATAGAGGTTAATGGTCAACCATATAAAATTTAATATATTTCATCATATTTTTGGATTAAAGTTTATGATATATAACAACATTCGAATCAGATCAAAGATAATCATATGTTTAACAAACGGATCCGGACCGGCTGGGTCGATCCGGACTGAAAACCGGTTCGTGTAGTTATAAACCCGGTAATGACCACAACCCGGAAAAATCTGGTTAACCCCGAAAAACTCAGACAACCCCGGAAAACTCAGTTTAGATTTTTTTTTGCTTCAAAGCATTTTTAAACCAAATAAATTGCAACTTCAATATCCTAAATGGAAAAAAGAGTAAAACCCTAGCGAACGAGCGCTGAGGGATTTTCTTTTGCCGGCTCGTGTGGCGCGGCGCGGCGGGCTTCAGGAGATCGGGATGCAGTCTGGGCGAGACGTGGTTGCTGGTAAGGAAGGGCAGAGGGACGACGCGGACGATGGCTATCGCAGGGAAGACGGCGGGCGGCAGGAAGGAGGAAGCCAGGCGGACGAACAGGTTGGAAGGCTCATCGATAAATATGGCAATCTGGGACTCGGCGGGATGGATGAAGTGCTGCTGATTGAGGACGAGGAAGAGGGGACAACAACGGAAGGGGAAGGAAAGAAGGAGTATCCGGTGGTCGGAGTGGTTCTCACGGATAAAACTATCCCTTTCACCTTCTTCCGGAAGTTTATGGCTGATTTGTGGCACCCGGGTAGGGGAATTACCATACAAGAACTTGGCGAAAGGAGGTATCCCGATATGAATATATAAATAGAGTTCTTGAATAGAGTTCATATTGTTGATATGAATAGAGTTCTTGAAAATGGGCCATGGTTATTTGATCAAAATTTGATTGTGCTGAAAGCGGTTGAGCCGGGAGATATCCCGATTAAAATGATACTTGATAAATTTGAGATCTGGGTACAGGTTCATAATGTGCCATATGATTTTGAGAATTTGGGAACTGCTAGGAGGATAGGCAATTATCTGGGGGAATTTATCTCTTGGGACGAACAAAAGTTTAGTAATAAGAAGGAGGCTTATATGCGGGTAAGGGTTCGGATGAATACGGGCAAATCTTTGCGCATCGGGACCACATTGAAGAAGAGTAAGGGGGACGGATATTGGGTAGATTTTAAGTATGAAAAACTGCCAAATTTCTGTTTCTGCTGTGGTATGATTGGGCATGCAGAAAAATTTTGTCCCTTGCTATACGAGGAGGGAGAGGAAGCCAAGACCAAACCTTTTGGGCCGTGGCTTAGGGCACGCGGAGGAAAAGCGAAACAAGCTCTGAGCAGTAAATGGCTGATTATGGAAGAAAGCTCATCTGGTGGAAACAAACACCTGTCAAGCATGATGAGTTCAAGTCAGGAGATGGTCTCGAATGAGAGGATGGAGAGCTCTAAGGATGGGGTGGGAAAGTTTTCATTTCCAGGAGAGCCTGAGGAGGCAGGTCTGGTAGGTGAGCTGAAGAGGAGACGTATGTGGGAGGATCAGGCACGTGAGGCTGCTGACAAGGAGGATATGGCTCTGGATCTCCCAAAAAACGGGGAGGAGGCGGGAGCTGGTCTACAGTCCCGCTAGAAGATCTGATGTTGAGTTCATTTGTGCTGGGTGCTGTTTTTTCTTATTTTAGTTATCTTGCTTTACTTATTTTCCACGTTTCGGATGTTGCTTTTGTTTTGACTATGCTGTGTTTTTCCAGCAAGAATACTTTGGAAACTAAATTAGGTACTGAGGTGGCATGTCTACAAGTCATAGGCTTTTGTAAACCCAAAGCGGGATCAGCGAATTATATGGCTTCTACGGAGGTGATTAATTCAGAGTCTGGTCCTTGGGCAGACGGTAGACAGGAGACTTGTTGTCATCCGGTTATCTCGTTTAGTTTGGTCGTTTTGGTCCGTTTTGCTATAATATACTAAGCCGGTTTCGTTCAAAAAAAAATCCTAAATGGAAAAAAAAATGTGATATATATATATATAAAAGAAAGAAAGAAATTTATGTCAAGTTATATTATAATGTACAATACAAGTTTGAAATCACATTCTTTATTCTAAAGCCTAATGAGATCAAAATTATCTATGAAATATTATAAGTGTTTTTACATACTTACCTAATACTCTGGATTCTCATTAGTTGATTGTTACGAATATAATTATTTTCTTATTTATTTATATATATAATTATATGTTTATTATTATATTAATATTGACTGATTTTCTAGTATTGGTCGAGTTGATCCACCCGGGTGGGTCCTGGTTGACCCGTGTCTCGGTCATGTAGTTGGGTCACTTCCCGATCCGATTTTTACAACATAGAGATAATTTTAGACAAATTATTTGTAATGCTATAAAACATTTTCTTTCTTAAGTACAAGTTCATTATATAGTTACCATGGATAAAAAAAATGTCTATATATAAGGAATATCAATTAATGAGCATGATCCCCCGTGCAATGCACTGGTGAAAATACTTGTTTCAATAATATTTGTGTCCACCGGTGTTCATTACAATATAAACCCGTTCTTTCAAATAGTATAAAAATGATATTAATTTACAAAAATTTGACTAATATTTACTACTTCGTATAATCTAGTGCCATAATAACATAAATTTAAAAATTGAATATATTTTAATATGATTTCATTAATATTCTAGTCCCTAGTTACATTTTTGTAAACAATTTTTATCGTAATCATAAATGTTTATTTTTTTCTTAATTTAAATAAAGTAATCATAAATGAGTACTTTTTTCTTAAAAAATGTGTAATTTCTATTTTAATCATGTTAGTATCGGCCCGAGTCGTGGATCCCAAACTTGTATGGCACTAGGCATGGACCTGGGAGGCTGGGACCAGGTCGGGCCTAGGCTTGGCCGGGTCTGGATGGTTGTGGTTTAGGCCCGGGACCGGCCCGGTTGTCTACAGGTTCCGGGCTGGTTCCGGTTCCATTTTTTTTTTTCTTATTTATTTCATCCCCTCCCCCCATCCCCCCATCCCCCAAACCCATCGGAAACACCCAGCCCATCTAAACCCAGCCCAAACCCCCAAAAAATCAAAAAAAAAAAAGCCCTGAACCTGGCCGGGCCGGGCCGGGCCGGTTCACATTTCACCTATCCTGGAACCGGCCCCGATTACACCCTATAACCGGGCCTAGACCCGGAACCGGTACCCGGTTCCCGGGCCGGGCCGGTTTCCAGGTCGGATGGCCCGAACCGAGTCCAAGCCTATATGGCACTTTAAGATCCCGTTTAGCAACACTGTTATTCGGCTTATCAGACAATGTTTTCACTAAGCACGTAATTTTTTATTTCACGCACTGAAATGTGTAATAATAAGAAAAGGTAAGGTTGAAGTTACTTTTCTGGTTGTTTCGACTGAAGTTATTGTAGAGTACTTTAACTATTTTAACATATAATTTTTTCTTTAATTTATTAATGAAATATATTTTGAATTTATTTTTTTCATAAATTAGTAAAATCAACCAGTACAACCATTTAAGCCAGAATTTCACAAATTTCATCAGGATCGACTGATTCAACCAATTTCAGTATTACCAAACGGTTCTAAATCTTTTAACATAATTCTTTCATCTTCCAAATGATTTCCAGAACAAACTCAACCATTCAATCGCTCAAAAAAAAAACTCAACCATTCAAAATAATTGATTTAAAATGGAAAAAGGAAACGAAACTAAAATTAAAAAGGTTGGATGAATTGGATCATTCCATACTTCGTGTAATCATTAAAGCCATCAATATCGGTTCCTGTTTACCAAATTAAGCGAATCGAGTGCTCTTTGTTGTCGCACTACAGCACCAGCTTTCTTCTTTTTCATCAAGGGAAAAAAGGTTATATTCATGCCTGGAGCAAAAACTATGGTATGTTTTAAGATAATTTTTTTATTCTTTGATCATAAGATAATTTAGACTGAACAGAAAGAATAAACAAACAAAACATCGACGGCAGTTCGCTGATCGCCGCCGCCGCCGCTCATTGCTCCGCCAGCTTTCGCCCCCTCACCGCTCACTGCCAATCGTCTTCCCCCAGATGCCCCTTCCCCGCCCTCACCCCTTCTCATTTCCATGGCTCCACCCGAACCACGCTATTCAGGTTATAAAAAGTGTTTTTTCTTTGTTTCAAGTTTCTTTAAAGTTTTAGGGTTTAATTTATATATGTGTTTTACTTAGATAATTTATAAATGTGTTTTACTTAAATCGTGCAATGACTTTGTTGGAATGTATTTTTATTCCAATGCATTTGAAATATTGCATAAACAAATTTTAAAATCATAACTTTTGTTACGTGCATTGTGTGTTAAAAAATTTGTATATCCTAATCGAACCTGTAATCTAGACTTGAATTACACAACAAGGATCACATCTTGATCACCAAAGGGAACTTCAGAAATTCTAGAGTACATCTTACGTTCTCCCAGGAGTAATTTAAGAGTGCAATTTATATATTACAGATTGAAAAGTTCCCGCAATTAGGTGTATAGCATAAGCCCTGTCAATAATAGGAGTGTCATTATTTTATCCTTAAATAGGACTAATTCAATCCCAATAAAAGAATCAAAGTAGCTATAACTTCTTTCAGGAGCAAAATGTGTCTTATTTTCGGAAAAAGTGGTATGTTATAGTCCTATTTAGGGGTCTTTAGACTGAACAAGATAATGTAGCTGTAATATCTGTTGTATAATGTTTCAAATTGTTTTCTTGCATAAGTGAAAGTTGGCCAAACACCATCTTAAAACAGCTTAATCAATAATATACTGATTAAGGGGCTATCAAAGATTTTGTTATGATTTTTCTCGGTGCTATTCTGGTACTCAATGGTGGCACCGTGCTGAATGGACACATCAGAAATTATTACTCCCTCCGTCCCGCTAAGATTGTCCCATTTTACCTTTTCGGGAAGTCCCACTAAGATTGTCTCATACCAAATTTGGTAAGGATTGTGTGGATCTAAACCATTCTTACTTTATTCTTACTTTATCAATTTAATATCAACCACATAAACCCACTTTTCTTAATAATCGTGCCACATTCTTCCGTCCCAATCTTAATGGGACGGAGGTAGTAGTATTTAACTGTTCACTTTGTTTTGTACTTCTTTTTGCATTAAACATTGGTAATTTCTAAATATGCAGATGTTAATTTAAGTATATTTGAACAGGTTGCAGTTTTCACAAATACGTGTGTGAGGAATACCCCACCTTTTGAAGATCATTTTGGGATGAGTTAGGTACAATCTATGCTCCCAGGTTGTTCTTCTCTTGCTTGCTCCGAATATTTTTCCAGAAAGATCGGTTCTGTAATCCAAATCTGAAGTATAAAGGTGTACAAAACAGTTAAAATAATTTATCATACAAAAAATGTGTAGAAGCCCTATTGGGCTTCATCGACGGCTATTGATCATCCGTTTCCGATTCTCAAATGTTTGCTCAAGAATTCTTCGTCTAGTAACCCTAGGAGGTGCAAAGATGTTGGGGTGCAAATGTTTGTCCTGGACCCAAGTTGCCTGTTTCTCTAAGCAGGAACAACAAACTATCTCTTTACCGGCGCCGATTCCTGAATGGCCCCAAGGTAAGTACTTCCTGAATTTACTATTCTCTGTCTAATGTTAACTTCAATTCATGCAAGAGTTTAATCTCTTGGACAAATGTTGTAAGTTTGGTTTTTATCAGCTAAAATATTAATGAAATCATGCTTTTTGGGTAGCATTCAAAAGCTTACGCTTTGAATACCTTGAAATTTAGGGCCCTTTTGGTAAGACTTATTTGGTACGAATAAAATTTCTGATTATTTTGAATCTACTGAAAAGAAATGGGTTTGATAAAATTTGTTTTTGCCAAAAAAACAAGTCAAAAGTTTACTTATTCTGCTAATGGAGCCTGAATTTATTCTTGTTATTCAAACTTAGATTCTATTCTAAAAGTTCAACGTTATAACAGTATGTAAGTTAATTCTTATATGGTTGTTTGTTATTTTATATTTAGCCAATGCAATATAAAATTTTCAACACTTGTTATATCAAAGTATTTGAATGATCAGGCACCGGGTTTGGTACTGGAATAATTAAATTGGGTGAGATAGAGGTTTGTCAGATCATCAAATTCGAGTTTGTATGGGGAAGCAACTTGTCATCATACGGTGGTGGTACGCAAGGGGTTAGCTTCTATAAACCGACTGGATTACCACAAGGATTTTTCAACCTTGGTTATTATGCCCAACCTAATGCCAACCCTTTGCAAGGTTTTGTTCTAGGGGCTCGTGCAGTTTTGAAATCAAATCATGGGGATGATTCCCCCCCTCTACAAGATCCCGAGGATTACACGTTACTTTGGTGTTCAAATGATGGACCAGATGATGAGTTTGATGTGTCGGGATACTTCTGGCTACCTCAACCGCCAGAAGGCTATAAATCTTTGGGCTTTGTGGTGACTAACAAACCCGCCAAGCCCGAACTATGTGAGGTCAAATGTGTCCGAGATGACCTCACAGATCCTTGTGAAACCCACCACGTGATGCTGAAAACATATTCTAAGTTTTCCCAAACACCTATTTTAGTTTGGAACACGAGACCTTGTTATAGAGGAAAGCAGGGTAGAGGTGTTTCGGTGGGCACATTTTTTTGTAGTGAATATTTGAGCTTGAGGGAAGAGTTAGGTGTTGTTTGTTTGAAGAACTTTGATGAAGCTCTCCATGCAATGCCAAATCTTGATCAGATACATGCACTCATAAGGCATTATGGTCCGACTGTCTTTTTCCACCCCGATGAGGTCTATCTCCCCTCTTCTGTTTCTTGGTTCTTTGAAAACGGAGCATTGCTCTGCAAGAAAGGTGATGGAAGTGAGACCATTGACCCCGAAGGTTCCAATTTACCTGCAGGTGGGACAAATGACGGGGAATATTGGATTGACTTGCCTAGAGATAGTCGTAGAGGTACTAATGGAGCCATTATTTTATTTACTCTTGTTCCTTAATATTCCAAAAACTTTCCTTTTAGTTTGACCAAAATTATAGTTTGAGGAAAATGGCTAAAATCTCATTTTATTAAGGAAAGCATTATGTGCCTATGTGGTTCATATTTTCACCTTTAAATAATTTCAACCACACAATTATCATATTCAAAATCTCCGTGCCTGATCAATTTTGGGTAATTTTTTGGACGAAAAAAGTATAACAACATCCCAACTGTAGTCCCAAAAGAGTTTGGGTCGTCTAACATGAATGACTAATTAATATAATTTGTTTACTTATTTATTTACTTTTTAGACCTTGTTTGGTAAGCATTAATCAGCTTATTCTGCTTACAAGCCTTTCCTTTTGAAAATTCAAGCAGATTCAACATTTCAACCACTATTTCATCCAATTAACCCTTACCTTGCTTATATTTTAGAAAGCACCATGTCTTGCTTATATTTTAGAAGTCTTATGTATTTTAGGTGGATAAGTATTCTCCCTCGTGTACCTTAACTTCTGCAAATAGAAAGCACCATCTACAAGTAATCTCGAGTCATTTATAAATCATTCTCATAATATTCAATAGGTGCAGTCAAGCAGGGGAATATACGGAGTGCAAAACTCTATGTTCATGTAAAGCCGGCCATGGGTGGTACATTTACTGATATAGTAATGTGGATCTTTTGTCCCTTCAATGGGCCAGCTACCCTGAAGGTCGGGGTACTAAACTTTGTTTTGGGAAAAGTTGGTCAGCATGTTGGGGATTGGGAGCATTTCACGCTCAGACTGAGCAATTTCACAGGAGAGCTGCAGCGCATATACTTCTCACAGCATAGCGGGGGCGAATGGGTAAACATATATGATCTAGAATTCATTGAAGGGAATAAAGCCGTCATATACTCATCCAAACATGGCCACGCCAGCTATCCTCATCCGGGGGTATACATCCAAGGATCCTCTGCGCTCGGGGTTGGTATCAGGAATGATGCTTCCCGCAGTAATAATCATGTGGACTCGAGCGTTTGTTATGAAATTGTTTCAGCGGAGTATCTTGGGAATGGGGTTGTTGTTGAGCCGTGCTGGTTGCAGTATATGAGGGAGTGGGGCCCAACGGTTGTGTACGATTCGATGGGCAACCGTTTGCCTATGTCGCTTAGAGTTTCAGCGCAGAGTATTTTCAATAAGTTGCCAGGGGAACTGTGCGGGGAAGCAGGTCCTAGCGGGCCGAAGGAGAAGAACAATTGGACGGGTGATGAGAGATGGTGACTTTATATTATGCTTTTCCCACTGTATATAGGTATCTCTTATTCCACATTAGATGAGGTTAGCGAATTTAACAGTGTTGTGTATATTATTCCTCACTTTAACTGAACTGAAGAGGCTACGAAAGTGAGTTGAGTAAATTTAGCTCAAATACGAATAGATGTAAAAAATCTTGTTCAGCTTGCTAGTGGAATTTGAGTCTCATCGCATGCTGCAACCTTTTCATTTATGGTAGAGGAAGTAGGGGTCGAGTGGGCCTGGGTCGGGCTGGGGTGGGCTCCGGGTCCTAATTATTAGGCCCGGAATCGGCCCGGGTTTGTACCGAGCCAGGTAGGGAAACATTTTCTTTTGTCTTTTTGAATTAATTCGAATGGGAAAAAATTATAAAAAAAAATACTACCTCTGTCCCGTTGGAAAGTTCCCATAGCAAAACGGCACGGTTATTTAGGTGATAATTAAAAAAAAGTACTTTGAGTATCTTTTGAGAAAAATTTTTAATAGATATACATTACGAGTATAATGTAGTTAGTATTGATAACTGTGATGTTATAAATATATTATTTTTAATATTTAGTGATTAATTTTTCACTTAAAATTGTTAATTGTTTCCTAAAAAGGAAATGAGAACTTTCTAATGGGACGTCCAAAAAAGGAAAGTGGGAACCTTCTAATGGGACAGAGGGAGTAATAATTGGGCCTGGACGGTCCACCATTTTCGTATCTCGTAGCATGCTATTTGAATCCACCGGTTCTGGTCTCAGTCCTGGTCCCGGGTCACCGGGCCAGGTTGGGCCTGCATAGTGCCGGGCGTGGCCAGATCCCGGGGCGGGCCGACCCATCCCAGTCCATCCCTAAGAGGAAGCATATCCGGTTGAATTGATGTAAACTAACTGTTCAATAAAACGCCTGAGCCATTAGTTGTTGCAGATGTTGGGATTCTGGTTTCCCGTGTTTCAAATGAGGTCCAAGGACGATACTGCTTGAGGAAATAATTCAGGAAATTATCCCATCTTATTTTAGTTTAAAAGAGGAGGTTTGGTTTGTCAATTCATATCTTTTGTTAAAAAATCGTTTTTGGAATTTGATAATTTTTTGTGTAATTTGATGAAATTTCTAACTTTTTTTAATTATCAATTAATGAGTACTGTGAAGTTACTAAATTTTTTTGGCCAAAAGACTTTATGTTGAAAGGTATGGTTATTATATTCATATACTCCGTATTTATTTTCAAGATCAAATATGATGGTGGTGCATAAATGGTATTCCCTCCGTCCCTTAAACAAGTTCACTCTTTTCTTTTTGGGTTGTCCCTGAATTAAGTTCTCATTTCCTTATTTGACAAATTATCTATATCAAAATAGTGTCAAATCGTGCAAAATGTGTCAAACAATGTCTACGCAGTGTCAAAACAGTAAAATTTATCCCCTTGGGGTTATTTTTTTAATATGTGTGAAAAACAATGGGGAACTTGTTTTGGAGACGGAGGGAGTATATTATTTTCATGTTTGTGTATCCACTAATATATCATTTTTGTCGTTGCGAGATTGTTAATACAACAATGTCAAAGTTTTATCACTTTGAGATATGAAGAAATGGTGTGCTTACTAAATATTGAGTTTATGCGATTGATATTGAATTGATAAATCAACAATAAATCAAGTATGATTTAAATTCGCATAAAATTTACCAAATTTAAGATGGAACAATTTTATTGAGATGGATAAAAAAAGGAAAAATTGATAAGAATAATCCTACCTTTCGCTGGTCTTCTCATAATAATCCCACCTTTAGGTAATCCCTGAATAATCTCACCTTTGCACCCCATCTTCTTTCATTGGATCCTGACCATATTTTTTACTCTTTTTTTTTAAATCATATAAATAATCTCACCTTTCACTTTTCTATTACGGAGTATATCTTTATATATGTGAGATTATTTATATAAGATTTTCAAAGAAATGTAAAAAACTTGGTCAGGGTCCAATGAAAGAAGTTGGGGTGCAAAGGTGAGATTATTTTGGGATTATGTAAAAGGTAGGATTATTATAAGAAGACCGGTGAAATGTGAGATTATTCTTATCAATTTTTCCTTAAAAAAAAAAGAGATAATTATCTTAGATATGACTAAAACTCCGTCAGTTTCCCAATCTATGACCTTATTACTTTTTTGACTAAAATAATACCAAAATTCGTACTAATTAATTAATATATCAATAATTAAATAAATAAACATTTTTTATAGACTAATATGCCCTTCAATTCTTTTTATAAAACCCTAATACCCTAGTGGTAGCCGATCACTGGCCAGCTTCTTCGCCGATCTGGAAGCAACCCTCGCAGTAGCTATGTCGCTTTCAGGGGACCAGACTTCACGCACTACCATCGGACTGTAGGTGTCGACGACCTCGCACCTGCACAGAGGTATGGATGTGCCAATCAACAGATGACTTCCTCTTTATAAGTGCGGACAACTTTGTAAGTGAGGAAGCTAGAAGATGTGAACCCCTTGGTTCAATAACAAGGTTGGAAACATGAGTTATCTTCTTTTAATAGAAGAAATTGACGAATTCTTCATTCACTTAGAATATAGCAGACCCTTCATCACTTATGGTTGTTTATTTGATTCCTCAAATTCAATTTTTTGGGGTTGGTTGTAGGTTTCTAGTTTATGGTCTTCGATATTTTGAAATGTGTCTAGATAATACTTTCTTTGATAATTGGATTAACCTCAACTGAGGAAATCATCTTGCTTCTTTCAATCTTGGATCCACAATATTTGAAATCCTTCCGTTTGGATTTTACCGGCGACACCCCGTCACCGGACTATATTTTTAAGTTTTTAGGCAGTGAACACGGACATTCAATATGGACATTCAATGAATGCATTGGAACATGGGAGTACATGTCGAGTGTGGGCAGTGAATATATATGCAATAGATATATTGTACATGTCTTTGAATCAATGCATTAAGGAAGTTTGTTGTGCAGTGATTATGAGCAAAAGTGCAGTAATGCACAGCGGTAAGGTCACCACGAAATACTATATATTGAATTAGAAGTAAAATAATAAAATCATTAGATTTAAAAAATAAAAAATAAAAACTATAAATAAATTCGTAAAGTGAACAACAAGAGAATTAATTTTGGCGCAAGTGCAGCGATTATTACCGGATGTGCAGTAATGTCGTGCAGTAATGTTGTGCATTAATGATAATATAAAATGCAGTAATTTTAATTGAACGAAATCAGTGCAAAATCCACATATTTTAAATAAGGGCATTTTTGTCATTCATCTTTTAGATATAAACGAGAATTTTTTATTTTTTGGATTTTCGGTCATACAAAAGTAAAAAAACTAGTTAGGTCATAGATTGGAAAACTCATTGAGTTTTAGTCATATCCTGGTAAATTTCCCAAAAAAAAAAGATGGAACAATTTTGGCAGAAGAGAAATAGTAGTAGTTGAAATATCATTTTTTATGAGAGTAAATATAACAAGATGATAATGTTGCAAGTTGATAGTGATCAAGTCAAGTGTAGTCAGGGAAGGGCCATCCATAGCATTTCCTTTGTGAACGGGGCCTTCTGAAAGAAGCAAAAAATGAAATGTCTCATAACTCTTTGGAGGATTCTGTGGTTGTTTGTGCGAACTATGAGACTGAGAAATCAGATTTAGGGAGTTTTGTATCAATTTCCTTTTTAATTTTTTATAAAGACTTGATCCATATTGGTTACTCCTCTTTTGTTGGGTCAGAAATTTGTTCTGTTGAAACAGAGTATTTGGTGAAGAAAGATACTCATGATGGACTAAGGATGTTTTTACTTGGACTGTAATTTGCTGGTCTGGTCTGGTCTGATCTGGTCTGGTCTGAACTGGTCTGGTCTGGTCTGGTAAGGTCTGGTTTCTTTGTATTTTTATAACTATCCAAGTCTGGTCTGGTCTGATCTGGTCTGGTCTGGTCTGGTCTGGTCTGGACTGGTCTGGTCTGGTCTGGACTGGTCTGGTCTGGTCTGGTCTGGGACAAATTACAGTCCAAGTAAAGACATCCTAATAGAGATCAACGAGGAGATAGGTTGTAGTGCCAACACAAATATTGAAGAAACCGCTCCAAGCTGCTTTCCCTTCACCTAAGGCACGAAAGATTGATAGATCACATATATTAGGAGATAATTGATGGAAAGATACTCCCTCCGTCCCCTTTTAAATGGGACGGGAGATGGTGGCACGAGTTTTAAGAAAAGTGAGTTTGTGTGGTTGATATTAATTGATAAAGTAAGAATAAAGTAAGAATGATTTTGAGTCACACAAAGTTTACCAAATAAGGTATGAGACAATTAAATAGGGACATCCCAATATGATAAAACGAGACATTTAAAAGGGGACGGAGGGAGTATCTACAATTGATCTTATAGTTTCACACTTTCACTTTCCCCGGCTGTCGAATAGAACCAATGAGGAGTCCTCGTATTATAAGAGAAATGCTAGAGGTACACACTTTGTGTACACACTTTGTGTACACTCGTCTGTCTCTTAAGAAAATTTTGTCTGTCACAGACAATTCATATATGAATTGTCTGTGACAGACAAAATTTTCTTAAGAGACAGACGAGTGTACACAAAGTGTGTACACAAAGTGTGTACCTCAAGCATTTTTGGTATTATAAAGCTAGATGAAAACTTTGGTCCAAAGTCCTTTCACGTGGAGCCTCACAAAGATGATGAGAAATACGGATTCAAAATAATCGCAATTTCCTTTTCTTAATTAATTAGTTACCGAGTATTAATATTTTTATTAATAATAAGCGTGGACCTCACTGGGCCGGGCTGATGTTGTCCCCCTACCTTGCCTGATGTTGTCCCCTAACCCCTCGTCTATTTTCCGCAAGCGGCCCATTTTGAAAACTGGGCCGGGCTGCTTTCATCCATATTGTTGGATCCATTTTAAGAAACCATAGCCTTTTACGTGACAGACGAATAGCCACAGACAACCTGACAGTAACAACTGACAGGAAAGAAAACTCATGGTAAATTAAATTACTCCAAAATCCCATCTGAAAAAATCCAGATTTTATTTCCCCAACTATTTGACGTTTTGACTGCCTAACCCTTTTTAAAAGGTTTGTATAATTTTTTGTTCTGGTAACAATTAAAAAAATCATATTATTTTTCTTTATTTTATTAGTAAAGAAAATTTCAAAAAAAAAGTGGAGTACAATTT